AGTCATAGGAGCTGATGGGAAGTCTGACAATGGTGAAGGAAGAAAAACTCAATAATGTGTTTTCCCATCCCATCTTAAGGCAAAGGTTGCATAACCTAAGACATTTTGAGTGAAATAATTTCCTGATGGACTGGCAGATCAAGGCCATTAGGAACACTTATTTTTATCTATGTTACAGCTCAAAGGGGAAGGGTTTCCAATGGAAGTGGTACAGCTCTGAGGTGAACAGTTTCCCAAGTGCATGAGCTTCTGGCAGCTGTGAGGGAAGATGTTTTTTCAATACCAGTGCTATAGCGCTAAAGGGAAAGGTGTCCTGGAATCCCAGGAACAATACAACTTACACTGCAAACCAAACCTTACACAAGAGCAGGAGGGATGCTTTATATAAGATTTCTTGGGGGTGGAGTTTTCCACAGAGGAGATTTCTAGGGTGGGGATTGGTAGGACTGCAAGGCAAGCCCAGGGATTTGTGGGATGTTAAGCTCAGGTTTGGTTGGTTTGGGGGCTCAGAGATTGGTGAGTTTTTGAGCTCAGGGATTGGTGGGTTTTGGTGAGTTTTCTAATCTATAATTCGGCTTAGAACACTTAGCATACAATCTCCATCTTTGAGACCCAAAAATATCAGGGGCTGTAGGACCATAGAGCACAGACAGGTGCTTCTGGGGCAATTAGGAAGGAAAGAAATTATAGTTGAACTACAGTTCACTGGGACAGAATGATCTATGTTCATAGAAAAGTTAAATACTATGTTGATGCAGCAAGGTCCTCAAGGATGTTATGGAGGTCTAAGAACTTTCCTGAGCTGTTCAGTGGTGCAAAACTTTTACAAAGTAGGCAAAGCTTTAGCAGATCTCAGTGACTTAGATCTTTGTGTAAAGAGGAAAGTAGGACATAAAAAGTGGGTAAAGAACAATCTGTCTGGGCTATTCAAAAATGGGCCAATAGTGAGAGAAGCCAAAGTTAGTAATGTAATAATTAATAGCCAAATTGTGTGCTCAGGACCTTCTGGAAAGCTTTCAAGCTTGAAGAAGAGTTCATAGAAGGCATCCATGACAGAAAAATACAGATGAAGGTTATATAGCCTGTCCCAGAGATTAGGAGTTATCTCCCCACTCCAAGGAGGGTATCATAGTTGGAAATAAAATTATCCTCTAAGAGAGTGGCTTTGTCAGGAGGTGTGGCCTTGCTGAGTGTGCATGGTTTGGTTGAAGGAAGTGTGTCCCTGTGGAATCAGGCCTTAAAGTCTCTTTTGCTTCAGCTTTGCTCAGTGTGGCAGTCAACTTCCTGTAATGACAAGTATTTACTCCATCCCCCCAGCCCTGCCACCACGTGGGGGCCCAGAATAACACACAGAGTCTTATATTAGTTTACAATGCTGCTGGCCAATTACTAGGATTTCTTATATACAAGATCAGTCTTAATTATCAACCATAGCTATTAACCTATATATTTTTAAGATTTATCTTGTAGAGGACACCATCCTTGCGTCCTGTCTTCCTGGAGGTCACATGGCAACTCTGCCCCTTTCCTACATTTCCCAGAATCCTCCTTCTCTTCTAGTCCCTCCTAACTTGCTCCCTTATTGGCCAACAGTGCTTTATCAACTAATAGGACAAACATATACACTGATGGACCTCCCCCATCATCCTTGTACCTCATATAAGTCTTGTGTGTTACTTTGCCTGCCCAAGTGGCAGCGGGCCTGGGCGGCTGGGCAGAAATATTTATCATTACATAATGGTGACAGAAGTGTTAAAAACTTCCACATAAAAACTTCACAAAATCTTAAAAAGGGATTTTAGAAGCAAAAGAACAGATACAAACATGACTTCTTGGTCGCAGTATTTTCTCAGGTGGTCTCTGTTTGGCTAGAGACAAGTAGACACTTAGTAGCTCCTTTAAGAGAGGCTTCCTGACTCAGCATAAGCAGCAAAAACTGCAAGGCTCTTTAGAGGCCTTGTTAATAATTCAGTAATGTGTACGGGCAGCTGGCAGTGGCAGTGACCACATCTCCAAGCTGGGAGCATGCTGCTTGATTGCAGCATAGACCAAGAAAGTGAGCACAGCTCTCACTGCTGGCAGTAAACTTAATCCTGCCATCTTGGAAAGACAGCAGCTAAAGCAGCCACCGCTTTAATTTTAGCAATGCTGTTTAACAGATAAAAGACTCGTGGCCATAAAAAGTTAAAAATTCACAATAAAGACAGATTCAGATGAATAAAACCTCTAAAGGTTTACAGTGTGTTTTATTTATAAGAGTTGTGGTAGTTATGGTGTCTCTTCAAAACAATAGAAACCCTAAGACAGAGGGTGTATTTCCCTATAACAAAAGGTTATGTTAGGTCTGGAGATGGTTTACCCAGCCAAACTCTCTCCAACAAGTCAAGTTAAATGGCGAAACAAGAGCTACTGTACCAACCCAGGGATTCTCTGATCCAGGGAGCCAGAGGGTGCAGCAGAGAAGAGCAGGGTTACATTGCCTCTTCCAAAAAGTTGAGAAATGATCAAAACAGCAGGTTGCCTGTATATTCACCCAAGGTTCTTGTCCGAAGTTGGGGAATACATCTTTGGTGCAAATACCGTACATATCTGACAGACTTCTATGAAGCATGATTTTTGAAGGACTGTGGCACCTTGTCTTGTCAATGTTTGCAGTCATTCTCTTTTGTGTCCTATGTCTCCAATTTGGACAGTATATAATCAGAGGTAAAGGCATGTGCCAGATGAGTAGTAGCACTAGTATTCCCTCACTCACGTTCTGGGGAGAGAGATCAACTGTGTCCCTGTCAACAGGGTTAGTTCTACTGTGCTTCCTGGGCAAGGTGCAGGACCTGATCTCCTAATTACTACAACTGATAAGCCAGAGGGGCAGCTCCCTTGAATTCAGCATGAGGGGAGGAACGAAGGGCAAGGGGGACATCTTTCCTTTCACCATGTCACTGCATGACAGACAGACAAGTAGGGGGCAGTCTTCCCACACTCATGCCCTTGGAGCCAGTTCACCTTCACTCCCATCAGCAGGGTCAGCTCTATTGAGCTCCCCAGACAAGGTGCAGGGCCTGATCTCCTGAGTGTTGCAGCCGGTAAGTGTCAGAGCCAGTTCTCCCTAGTGTTGTAGCCACTTAAGGACAGGGTCAGCTCTGTGCAGCCCTAGCCTCTCTGGCTTTTGTGGTATTAGGAATCACTAACAATAACAAAGACCAGAGCTAGAAGAAGGCTATGGGCCTTGGCAGCAGCTCAATCCCAAAATCCTCCTTGGTGGCAAGTAAGTCACCCAACTCAGCATATGCCTCACAGTCTTCACCACTTCAGATCAGCCTCTGCACAGGTCATGAACCAGCCTGTCTCTGTCTCCCCTATAACACACCATACATTTGCTGACAAAAATAATGCCCAACTGCAAAGCCTGTGTTTTCTCCTCGGTGCCCAGAGCAGGCTGTCCTGGTTCTACTTAGTCTACTCAGTCTTCATGGGCCTAGATAGGGCCCTGTTTTCTCTTTGGCATCCAGGCCAGGCTGGCACAGTCATGCCTGTGGTTTAGACTGAAAACATTTTGCAGTATCAAATGGCCATGAGGCCTTTAGGATGAAGGTGTTGAAGGGTATGACTTAAAAGTTATATGTTTTGGGGTTAAGTAGGCAATGGGACAATTAGTAATAGTAAACAATCAACAGAAGGGGGCTGGATAAATGGCTCAGTGTTTAAGAGCAGTGGCTGCTCTTACAGAGGTTCTGAGTTCAATTCCCAGCAACCACATGGTGGCATACAACTATATGTAATGAATCTCGTGTCTTTTTCTGGTTTGCAGGCATGCATGCAGACAGAACACTAATTATATAATAAATAATCTTTAAAAAACAATAAACAGAATCCACGTTTATGAGACAAACTTTTTGGCATATTTATGAGGCCATTTAAAGACTGGAATAATTGAATATGAAGGATATGACTTGAATATGTGTGACACTATATTAGGGGCTGATGTCCTGGACTAAGTAAAAAGAGAAACTGAGGTAGGCACCAGAATTTATCCAATTGCTTAATGATTGTAGGTGCAATGTGTCATACTGCTTTAGATTCCTCCCACAATTGACTAGTCTGCTCCTGTACCATTCTCAGTAGGATGGAATGTATTTCCTCACACTATTAGATGAAATTATACTTTGTTATGTTAAGTCATTTTTGTTGGTTACATTGTTTCAGCAACTAGAAAGAAACATGCATGTTTAGCTACTATGTACCTGTGACTCTGGGGAAAAGGACAAAGAATGAATGTGAATTAATGAAGAAATGTTAACCATCTGGACATTTGGTGCATCCTGTTTCATTCCCAGGGGACCTAGAGAATGCACATTAGGGAAAGTGCTGTATTGATACTGATACTTGATATTTAGCATCTAAAACGAAGTACAAAACAACAGCTCAATTAGGATGCATCTTAATATTTTATTCATGAATTTATGCACTTAATTGTGCTGAATAATATTCTTTCCCTCTTTTATGCATAATGCTGATGTTTTGCTAAATCCTCACAAAAAGTTGAAAAGTTTCACTTTGTTTACTGTAATACTGATTTTTTTCTTCCACACATACAAGATTCTTTCAAAAAACTTCAACTTATGAAAAGAATGCAGTTGCTAGACACTTTTTTTTAAAGTAGGCTTTGCAATGAACCTTTTGTGGTTGTTTGTATAGACCAGAAAGAAAATTGTATTCCTTTATCAGACTGTTTCCTCCTCCCAAACCTTGCTGTGAAAATAAGATGTTCTCTATAAGAATTTATCACTCAGGGGTGGTTATTTTTTGCTATACATCTATGTTATGGGGGAAATTCTTTATACAAAATTGAGACCTTTTATTCATCATCATGTTTGCTACTTATACTACAATATCTAAAAGTTAATAAGAGAAAGATGTTTTAATTATATTTAATTATATTTTTCAGTTTGTGATAGTTACAGACTTTTATTGAATGAAAAGTTGACAGCCTCATTTGATTTTTATAAACCAAGCTTAGGTATTTTGTGAGGAGGTTCTTCCTCTTCATCAGCGTCATGATGGTCTTCATTGTCATCATCATCATCATCATCATCATCATCTGGGTAGTCCACTAAAGGAACCTTTCTGCCACAGTGTGGGTCACTCTTCCTATTAGCAGAAGCATCAAAATGAGATGAATAACAGTCAAATGCTTCAGATGCTTTTCTTTCTGGTTGCTCTACTTCATTTTGATTCGTATCTTTAATTCTTAAAAACACGTCAAAACATTTTGGAAAATCTCTTCCCATTGGTAGAATAGTTTCAGTAATTTCTCTGGAACACATTTCTTCCTTCCCTTGTACCTCCATAGCTTTCATATGTCTGCAGTGTCTGTTCTGGCATAATAATTTATGTAAATTCCTTAATATTTCACTTTGTCTTTCATTCTCTTTTTCAAATTTATCTTTTAACCCTTTAAATGTTTGGACATACTCAATTGATTCAAAAGCCGTAAAAAAATTTTTTACAATGTTTGCAACAAGAGACTTGATGTTTTCCTCTCTTATAAATTCAAATAGCTCAATGATAGCTGAGTTTAGCATATTATTTCGTTTCCCATTATGTATAAAAGCTTTTACAACAGGTTCAAAAAGATTTTTCGTTATTATGTAATGGTTATAAAGTTTATCATTAACACCAACCATCTGTCTCATAAACCTGATAGCACACAAAACCAGAAAAGTGTGCTTTGAGCTTGTCAGCACAAGGATTCTGCTGAGCAAGTTGTTGCTCAAAATATAATTTCTCATGTAAGTCATGTGGTGTTTTACACAAAAGCTGAGTAATTCTAACACTACTGCAAGCAATTGTGCATTTTGGTAATTATCAGGACAGATGTTGGCCGTGTTATCATCACTATCACTTTGTTCTGGAATAGCCAAAATTGGTTCAGCCAAGTTATTCACGCAATGTGTATAGAAGAAATTCATAAAACCTTCCTTTTCACATGCATTTACTGTTATTTGCATTCTTTCTGGATCAAGAAGTACACGGAGAAGTGCAGTCAAGCTTAAAACATATGAAGATTCAGGATCAGGATCACATAATATTTGTTTAATGATTATGTTGATGAGGTCATAGTCATTTTCACTGGACTGTGCTTCTTCCATTGCATACACTCGGACTATTTGTGGATTATATTCTATTAGATAAGTAAATATATCTACAGCAGCTTCTTTTGTTTGGTAGTCTTGCCTATGTAGTGAAACTTTTAGAGCACTCATAAGTCCAAGCTTTATCATTGTTTGCAAAAATTCATCTTTCTTTTGAGAGTTTAATATCTTAGCATATTCACAGAATTCCTTGAAAAAAAATAGCAGCTCAAGCTGTCTTTCATGACATAGAGTGTTATCTTTTAACTGAGCAAATATTTCATTGAAAATCATTTCATCTTCCTGCAGCATGGTAACTATTTCAATTTTGTTGTAAAAAATGAAAGTTGTAAATTCAGAAAGATGATTATCTTGAAATTTGGATAGTATTGGAAATAGAATGTCATGAATATATTGCATTTTGTAAGTCTGGTCTATTTTTTGCCTGAGTTTGGAGCATGCTATTGGCATAACTTCCTTGAATTTCGCATTTACACATATGAATTCCCTGTGCCGATATGGCTGATCCAAAATAGGGTCATACTCAAGGCATCCTAAGACATCCATGATGCACTCATCAGAAAACATTATCTCATACAAACGCATATTGTTGAGAAATAAGATTCCTCTAATAATGAAATATAAAAAATATAAGCCTTCCATGTTCTGCTGGTCTTCACAGATGTGGAAGATATGTAGCAATTTTTTAATGTAATCTTCATTTTCCAAAAGAAAAGCCAGTCTTTCCTTGAAGCTTGGTGATTCCTGAACAAAATTAAATAAATGTGCAATGTGTTCAAGTGTGCTGTTTTCACAGGTTCGCATCTCACACAGATTCTGGATCTGGGGCAGTTCTTGAAAAACATCTAAATCATCTGTAAATTCTTGTGTCATTTGTACACTTGGATCTTTACCTTGAACTTGGCAGATATCTTCCCAGATATCTTGACAACCATCCGGGTTCCGGAAACTTATTGCCATGGTACGGTTACTAGGTTCAGTCCAAATAATTAAATCCATTTTTGGCTTCCTGTAGGGCACATCAGCATATATTGCACACTCCAGTATCAGTGAGCCATCTGATTCCGAGTGAACAAGCAGGCAAACGCCCTGCAGGCGTCCGATATATTTGGTTGAAATTTGTCCTGAGCCTAGATGTTCCCATTGCTCATCTTCGTTCAGGAAATAGACTTTCACACTGTGAAATCTTTCATTTGGTTGGATTTGCGACCTTGTCTCACTAGGCCACATCGTTGCCTAGACGGCAGCTTTGGGTACTCTGGCCAGGACCATCGCTGAGGTCGCAGTTCTGAAAAATCATCAGAAAGAAGATTAGTGGCCATTAACAGATTGGCAGAGGCTAAGAGAGAACCCAAGGTCATTAGAATAACTGGGGAGGAAGGCCCTGATACTTCTAAATACTCCACTACTGAACAACCCCCGACAAACCTCGCTCCTTCGTGTTTTACTCTCGGAGCCTGCTTTCGTTCTGGCAAGAATCTTATGATACACCCAAGATTCTTCCTAAAAAGAATGTGCGTATGTAACAGATTCTATTAAAGGGACAAAATACTGATCTGGGCATTGTTTCTCAGAAGTATTTTCAGTCATCAGAAGTGTGTGGCTTCAGAACAAAAGAACATTTAATTACCAATGTTTTGGCCATGCCCACACTTCACAATATATGTTAATGAAAGCCTGAAGCTATTAAAAAACAAGAATACATCATGGACAGACAAATTGCCTTCCCACGAATCACAAAACTATGATTGATTTTCTCTACAAGATGTGCTCTATCACATTTTTACATATAAAGGGAAGATCTTGTTCTGAAAAGGATTATGTCAGCTGATAGCTCCATGTTGTTCAGCCTGGAGTTTCACCTTTCAGTACATTAAATGAAACATTGCCTCAAATGTTTCCTTTGCATAATCATGCACATTGTTATTGAGAAGAACTGGGCTAAAAGGGAAGTGAGTGAAAATCTGGCAGGATTGAGAACTGACACTCTAAATTATTGCATTTTCCTTTTTTCATTCTTTAATTACTACTCATATTTACATATCCATCCCCCCATTCTCTCACCCTCCGGTCCTCCTATATTCCCCACCAACCTCCCCCAACCCATGCCCAAACTCGTCCACAGGGATAGTGAGGCCCTCCACCAGGGACCTTCAAAGTCTGTCATATCATTTTCGGGAGGGTCCAGGCCCTCCTTGCTGTATCTGGGTGCAATAGTATCCCTCCATAAGGAATGGCCTCCCAAAGTCCATTTGTGCTCTAGGGTTAAATAGTGGCTCCACTGTTAGAAGTCCCATAGATTGTCCTGGCCTCCTAAGCTGGCACCCGCATTCAGAGGATTTGGTTCGGTCCAATGGTGTTTGTGCAGCTTTATGACTAGGGTCTCCATGCTCTCACTAGGTCAGGTCAACAGTTTCTGCAGCACCATCTTGGCTTCTTTGCTCATCCCCCCTCCCTCTTCACAATTGGATTCAAGGGGTATTCAGTGCTTGGCTGTGGGTGCCTGTTTCTGCTTTGAACAGCTACTGGATGAAGGCTCCAGGAATGGTAACCTAGGTAGATAACAATCTCATTATAGGAGAAAGGCTATTATAATTTTTTTTCAATTTTGTAAATCTATTGGGCCTTGAACATGGTATGGTCATTTCTGAGTGTCTTGTACTTGGTCTGTATCTAGTCATGATGGTGAAGACAATAAAAATAACCTCACA